TCCATATTGATAATGTAAAAAAAAAACATTAATTTAGATAAATGAAGTTCTAACAGCACTTTCATTTTTGCATTTCTAATTTATAGCTGCTTTTAACAAAAATTGCAAAAATGGAAAACAAATTTTCATGAACAATAGTATAAACGTAACGACCGGAACACAAATGGCAGAATACGCTTGTTATATAAAAGTTCAGTTTACTCTTAATGTTTGATCGAGAATTATGTCCTGCTGCAGAAGAACCGAGAAATTTGAACAATTTCCTTGCGACGGTTGTTGTGGTTAGTATAATGTTCTTAACTTTTTCTTTTCTTCCTAGTGTGTTAGTGTAATGTGAAATGAACAACAGAAAAATCATTTTTAGTAGACATGCGATGCTATAAGTAACGATCCGACCTCGGAATGTTAATAATTCAAAGTTCATTAATAATTGGTTATTTATGTAGTGAACAACTGTGATACTGAAGATAGAAGATGTGTGATATCAAATCCCCAAACTCATTACTGCTTTTGTCAAATTTGCGGAGGATGCTATGCTTACGATGATGGCAACAATTGTCACTCCAATGTTAATACTACCATCAAGACATACACAAACCCATGTCAATGTGCCAAAGAAATAATGTGGAATAGCTGTGTACCACCTAAACCAGACTGCAGATGGTTTTCAAACTTTTCTGAATTACGCAGACAGTGGAGTAATCATGCTCGCCAACAAAATTGTAAATGTTGTAAGTGTAGGCAAAGGTAAGAAAAAGTAAGATCTTACGTTTGCAGAGGTCAAACGGACTTCATCTGTGAGGAAGTACTTTTGCACCAAAGAAAATCGACTTTAATTCGTGTAAAATTTAGATCTGTTCCATTTACATTAGGTAAAGCAACTCAGGCCGGAGAATTCTTAATTGAATAATTATATAAAAAAAAAAAAATAAGAAAAAAAATTGCATTTCTATCAAGCTCGTGACAATGAATAACAACATGAAAATTATTTATTGGAACAATATAAAAAATGTCATTGAGGTATGCTTATAGTTTATCTGTCTTCCAACTTGCAGTGACAAATTTTTGATACATTAAAAATAAAAAAATATGCTACGTGGGGAAATGTAAGAAAGTATACATATTACATTAACCCTTTCGCTCCGATGGGCGTACGGGGCGCGGGTACGAAGAGCGTATATATACGTTCATACCATATATACTTTTATTTCATACTTTACATGAGATACTTTTGTTAATCGAGTATCTGGTAACGCTGCATGCCTTAAACAATTGACTATCATGAAATATAACATTATTGACAAAACGATATTGTGTTTTATTCTAACGATACACAGTTTCAGTCTTCTTTAGAACATTGCCAGCGAGGGATATATATCAGTAATTTATAATAGTAGTGATTAAAAGGTTTACACCTTTCCTTACGCTTTTGTGATAATATGTTGAGTTTTAAAGTATTTAATTTTTTTAGACCCATTATCAAATCATGGGGAAAAGAAAATTTAGGAGAATATTTTTCTGAAAGCGTTTGCCATGCAAAACAAACAGTAACGTGCTCAAGATCACAAAAATCTGAATATATTTGGACTACGGAAAACTTGGAACCAGAAATACATTCCGTACTTCAGTGCCAACTACTCAATAATACGCTCCGTTCACAGCGATCACATTTTGACGCAAGCGCTCCGTAGCGAAAGGGTTAAGTACATTAACCCTTTACACTCCGCTGTCCCCTTCCATGGGACATCGTAATTCCAGCATATCACTCGGATGTCCCCTGTCATGGGACATTAAAGTTGATTAGTGATTACGGGTAATTGAGTTATTTCAGCGCAATTTTTTGAGACATGCATGTTTCCCTGAAGTTTTCTCTTGATATGGCATAAGAAATCAAATCAAAATATAGTAAAATTACTAAAATATATACAAGAAACATCAGCGGGTTTTGTGTCGGACGAGAACGTGAGAAGGCGTGCTCACGACGGTCCGAGCACTTCAAAGGCGCCATTTGAAAAGAGCGATAAGGCAAGTTTGTAGAAGAAAGGTCGGTATGCGAACATAGCACGCACTGTATAGCGAGATTTATAATCATAAATAAGCAAGTCTAAATCTGAAGGAAAAGATTTTCAAAGCTGAACTCAGTTTGGTTTGAAGCGTCGAGCGGTATAGATAGATCTAACGAGTGAGAAAATCGGAAAAGTGATTCTTCTCTTGGTAAATAAATTGTTTGGTAAAAGTTTTTTTTGTAAATATCATCTTGTGAGTTAGTAATAACAATTGGAAATTTTCAACCCATGTATTTATTCATATTTTTTATTAGAACAATGGCAAAACGTTCAAACACGAATGAGTCTCATGACACAAGTAGTAGTGAAGATGAGCTCCAGATAGACGTTTATACAGATATGTTAGAAAGACTAATTGTAGAAGTAAACGATAGCAGTGATAGTGATATCGTCCAAGAAACAAGGCGACGAAGGGTTCGCATAGATAGCGATAGCGATGAAAGTGATACGGAAGAGAACACACCGCAACATGACAACGTATCGTCAAGCGAAGAGTGGGAAGACGTCACTGAATCAGGCGTTCCTCCAGTCACGATAAATTTTGACTTACATGACGAAATAGCCGGACCACAACTACCAAATAATGTAAAAGAACCCATAGAATATTTTACATTATATTTTACTGAAGAATTAGCAGACAGCATAATAAAAGAAACAAACAATTATGCCAACGAAGAAATTAAAAAGAAACAACTTTCACGGAAATCAACTTGGCACAAGTGGCATGATATTACTAAAGAAGAATTTTTAGCTTTCATCGCCGTTATCCTAAATATGGGATTGATTCAACTGCCCAGTATTCAAGAATACTGGTCTACTGCTTCCAATAGTAGAATCCCTTTCTTTCCGGAAACATTCACTAGGGCCAGATTTATGCAAATATTTTGGATGCTACATTTGACGAAACCCACGCAAAGAAATGCGACGATAAGAACTCGTATCCAAAAGGTTAGCAATTATTTAGAATATATAGATGGCAAGTTTAGACAATACTTCATACCGTATAAAGCAGTCGCTGTGAATGAATCTATTGTAAAATTCAAAGGCAGAATAGCATTTATCACCTATAATCCGAACAAGCCAACGAAATGGGGTATACGCATATATGCGCTAGCGGATTCAAAAACTGGATATTTATTTACAATACTTCCGTACTATGGCAGCATAACTTCCGATAACATTTATCGGCCTGATCTTCCAGTAACCACCAGGATTCCACTACATTTATATAAGAAGTTGTTAGACAGAATTCCTGATGCAAAAGGATACCACATGTACACTGACAGGTACTATACCAGCATTTTATTAGCAGAAGAATTGCTAAAGATGAATTGTCATCTTACTGGCACCATACAAGTTAATCGAAAAGGCGTACCGACACAAATAAAAAAACCAAAATTTTCAAGAAAAACAACAGTTGCATACAGGAAGAATAGCACTACGCTTCTTGCGTGGAAAGACAAAAGAATTATCACAATGCTCACTAATTATTACAACACACAACTACAATCTACCCACAGAACATTACGCGGTGGACATGTTGTAACAGTCAATAAGCCTGAAATGGTGTTAGAATACACGGCAAATATGGGTGGTGTGGATCGTGCGGATCAATGCGCTTCGACGTATTGTTTTCTCCGTCAGTCGCTGAAATGGTGGAGGAAGTTATTTTTTTGGGGATTGGAAATGTGTGTCATTAACTCATACATTATTTATCGTACCTCAAAACAAACAAATAATGAAACCCCAATGACGCACCACAAGTTTGTCAAGGCACTCATTGACCAGTTGAGGGGTGATTTTCGTGAATCGAGAACGCGTCCATCCACATCTTCTACGGACAATAGATTAGAGAATAAACTACATGTTCCCGATGTGGGACAAAGAAAACGGGATTGCATCGTTTGTTCTGACAGGAAAACACCTGGTGGCAGGCGTCAAACAACTTATTATTGTCAAACGTGCACTAATCAGCCAGCAATGCATATTGGGGAGTGTTTTAAAGTTTATCACACTGTACAAAATTATAAGAAATAAAATATTGACTTTTTTGCAAATATACATTTCTCGATTTCAACCAATTCATATAAGTTCAATATCATTATAACATGTTAGTTAGATCCAAAACCATACTAAATAATACGAGGGTCTGTAAATGCCCGTTTCTGCCACAAAGTAGCGCTGAGTAGCTGATAGCCAACGTCCAGAATGGTTCAGAATGCAAAGGGTTAAACTGAATCGATCGCGTACTTCCGCGAGTATGCGTTGAGTAATGTTGACAATTGATTCTATTAAATCACAAAGATATATGAATCAACCGTACGACTTTCTGATGACTGCAACTTTGAACAGCCGAAAATGAGGGGTAGCTGAGGTCATTTGAAGTAACTATTTTAGATTAATTTTTTAGATTTTACATTAATTACGTTCTAAGAGCGCAGGGTACCGTCGGTGACAGCAGGTCGGCCGCAGTTTACGTTTCTGCATATCTTGTTTATTTCATATGACGGTACCCTGCGCTTCAAAGAAGATGGTATCGGGTGTCATTTCCTCGGACGACCGAACGATGAACAACAAGGGTCCATGGTCGAGGCCTGATTTTTTTGGCAGTGAAACGTTGACTGCCGAACGAACGTGTCGAATAAACGATTATCCGCGAACGAGTCTCAGTCATCCCTCGTGATATCCACAAGTGTTTCGGATTATCAGTGATTAATTAAGTGATCAGTGTTTGGTGACAGTGCAGTGAAAGATCAGCTGTACGTTGTACGAGGTCAGTGCCCTTCGACATCGTGAGCCACAATTCCAGCCAGCAAATGCATCCTCAACTAAATGGATGAGTTTCTTATTGATAATTTTTTTCATATTTCTCTAATAAACAAATCTTTTACGTCCCTTAACGCAATTATTTATTATTAAATCAGCTTTGCAAATTATTCGTTGAATTCTGTTCGGACACGGAATTATTGAAATTAAAATATCATTTACGAACTTTGTTAATCCTCACTGTACACTTTGAATAAAAATTTCATATGGCACACGTGAGGTGTCATGCATACCAGAAAATTAAAAGGGCTGTAACGGTTAAACTACATATTATTTCGGGTCCGAAAAATTAGTAAATATTCTTCACACGTTCTAAAGTAAAGGTGAACAGCGTTTTTCTTAAAAATATCACTGTTACCTAGTAAAAAAAATCCGGAAAGTTCACGCTTCGTGATTTGTTCAATACTTTGAACGCGGCTCGAGTCCGTCCCGACCTTCTGTCAAAGCCTCGTGCTGCGGGCTCACGAACTTCGTGCCGTCACCTCTCATTGGTCAGTGTCTTTCGTTAATAACTCGTAAACAAAGTCGCAGATTGCATCTTCGGAAAGGAAAAAGTTACTTCAAATGACCTCAGCTACCCCTCATTTTCAGCTGTTAAAATAATTGTGGAATACCCTGTATATTGTAGAATTCAAAATCGTATGTTCGTTATCGACATTACACCCAAATCAACAAATATTGATATCACTTTTCTTGATTTCAGGAGCGTGTATCGTACCGGACCAAGATTCTCCATATGGCACTCCTTGGCGCTTCTTGGGATCTCTCGTGTGAGAGATCTCATCCAAAACATCCTGTGCGCACAAATCAAGGAAAGAGATAGCACTGGCCAAGTAATCCGGCGACGACCACGACACCCAACTATTACATTAAATGTAGAGTTTTTAGTCGAGAGAAAGAAACATTTCAGCATGTATGGATATGTGAAGAGATGAATGGTAAAGTGGAGGCAGAAGTAAAAGAATATGTAAAGGAAAGGATGAGGAAAGTAAATTGGGAAGCTGAAATGAATGAGTTATTAAGTGGTAATGTAAAAAGAGAACTGTGTATACATAGTAAGACATTCAAAAAGAGGACAAGAGAACAAAGTAGCAATTGTTGACCAAAGAACTGTAGATGTGAGTAGAGTAGGTCGTAGACTAAGTATACAAACGTATTATCATGTGCAATTAATGTTTAAACAAGTAAAATTAACTTTTTGTACGGATAATAAATAAATAATAAAATTAATATTACAATATTTCTGTATTTCTGTACTTATCAAATGTACGTGAGTAAAATGAAATGCAGTATAAATATGAAAAAACGGTACTCTAGTTTCTAGTTGTCATGCTCACATTGCAAGCTTCTCGGATATTTTTTAATGGCTTCCTCATCTATATTTATCCAATCATTATTTATCTAATTCATTTAATTTATTCTTGAATTTGTCTTCCTCTCACATTTGATATTATAAGATTTATTAATATTATTTTTAAATTTTTTCCTACTTTCCACACTTTTTCTGGCACTACCTGTACAATAAACAGATATTTTCAAATATTTTTGAATGCAAGTTAAAATGTAGTAAACGTTTAAAAAGACTTTCGAATTTAAATAAAAGTATTTCAATTAATATTTGGGTAAAGTTTATCTATACTTTAAATGAATTTATTCATACGCAAAAGAGTTCAATGAATAATGGTCCATTTGATACGGCCAGCCGCCATGTTTGTTTTGATGAAACCTATATGTGTACAGAGAGTAATATGTACATATGTACTTGGTTTTGCACGATTTTTCTATCTCCTTTAGCTTTTGCAAACGTTCCCACCATTTTACTGCGCACCCAATCCACATTGAATCCTGTCTTAGCATTGTATCGTCAGCTAATCAAAGCAAAGAAATTTCTACTCCTATTCTCGCTAACGGAGCGTGATGCAGCCGGAGAGCTTGTAGAAATTTAGGTATCACTGTATGTATGAGTATGTGTAAGGTGAATGAACATTGGAAAGTTCAGTATGAACGGAAGAAATTTATTAAATGTTAGTGGAAATGCATTCTTACACATTTCAAAATATTCCCATGTAGTTACAAAACAAACACCAGCCGAATATTGTTTCGAATTAGTTAGGTACATAACGACAAGTCATAACAAATGAGTGTAATTTTTCGACTGTTACATGTTTTCGAAGTAATATTACTTTTACAAAATTTACTTTTAATTATTTTCCTTACAATGTGAAAGGCAATTAAATTTGTAATTGTTTAAATTAATATAACAATTTAATAAAAGTATGTAGTTTCTTCAGTGAAAATAGTTTTTTATAAAATTATGAAATGTTCTTAAAATGAAAATAGTGTTAAGTATTAGTATTCTACTACTGTTCAAATATTTTGCAGAAAATATGATCATGAAAATTTTTTATGCACGTTATCATTACCATCTAAACCTAGATCAGCAGCATTTGCAATTCGTGCATTTAATGTTGAAGTTGCACAAATACAAGATCAAACAAATGACAGTAAAATAGGAGAAATGAGATTAAAATTTTGGACAGATGCCTTGAATAATACATTTAAGGGAAATCCACCGAGAAGTCCTGTTATGTTGGAGTTAGCTAGGGTATGATTTTGCAATTTATTGTATCTATAATATTACATGATCTATCATATTATATTATGTTGTACTATAAATGTAGTGTTAATATTATGGTATTTATAATGAAGACATTTACAGATTCTACAAAAGCATTCCCTTTCTAAACATTATTTCAAACGTTTAATAGATGCTCGTTTAGAATATCTAAAGAATTGTACATTTCTTGATATGAATGCATTAGAAAAATATGCAGAGTATAGTACTTCTTCTATTTATTATCTAGTGTTGGAAGCATATGATATTCATAATATTAGTGCAGATCATGCTGCTAGTCATATGGGTAAAGCGCATGGAATAATTAACTCACTTCGGTCAATTCCTTACAATGTTAAAAATAGAGTGAACGTTCTCCCACAAGATATTTTAATGAAGCATGGTGTTTCTACAGAAGCTGTATTTCAGGGTCAAATCAGTCAAGATCTGCAAAATGTAATATATGATGTTGCTTGTTATGGAAAACAGCATTTAGACACGGTAAATATTTTATCAAATTTGATTCTAATATATTTAAATAACCAAATTATTCATAAAATTAAACATTTACATATTACTATATAAACTCTAATTCCAAATATTGTACTGTTTACAGGCAATATCCCTTAAAAAAAAACTGCAAAAGAATATAGGCTTAATTTTTTTACCAGTAGTGCCCCTAGAGCAGTATTTAGGTGAACTAAGAAAAACAGATTTCAATGTATTTGACAAAAGATTGCAGAAAAGGAATAGTTTACTACCTATA